GGCCCCTGGTTCCACGGGGGGCCCCCCCCCCCATGTCTACCTTGGATGACCCATTTCCACACACGGGACCCCCATGCCCACCTTGGATGACCCGGGTCCTGCCACAGGACCCCCATGTCCACCTTGTATGACCCATGTCGACCTGTGGGACCCACATGTCCATCTTGGATGCCCCATGTCCAGCTGTGGGACCCCCATGTCTTCTCCAAGGGGTCCTGTTTCCACCCATGGGACCCCCCGTGTCCGCCTTGGATGCCCCATGTCCACCTGTGTGACCCCCGCGTCCACCTTGGATGCCCCATGTCCACCTCTGGGACCCCCACGTCAACCTTGGATGCCCCACATCTACCTGTGGGACCCCTGTGTCCTCACCAGGGGCCCCCACATCTGCCCTAGGTGCCCCATGTCTGCCTCAAGGACCCCCATGTCCACCTGTGGGACCCCCCACGTCTACCTTGGGTGTCCTGTGTCCACCTGTGGGACCCCCACATCCACCTGCAGGACCCCTGTGTCCACCCCAGGGGTACCACGTCTACCTGTGGGACCACCAAATCCACCCTGGGGGTCCTTGTCTGTCGTGGGTGTCCCTCAACCACCCCAGGCACCCCACACCTACTCATGGGACTGCCCCACACCCACCTTGGGTGTTCCCCAACCATACCTGAGAACCCACATCCACCCATGCGACCCTCTGTGTCTGGCATGGGTGCCCCACATCGGCCCCAGGGGTGCTCATGCCCACCCCACGGGCCCCCACGTTCACCTGTGAGACCCCCATGTCTGCCCCAGGGGCCCCATGTCCACCCACGGGACCTCCCCCCATTCACCCCAGGGACCTCCATCTGTCCCAGGTGCCCCCTGTCCACCCCTTTGACCTCCTGGTCTCTCCCAAGCTGGACTGGCCTCTTCCACCACTGATTCACCTCCTTGTCCGGGACTCAGGGGACACGGGGATGGGGCCACCAGGGGTGGTCATGTCACACCAGAGGGTCCCAGCCGTCCCGTGTCCCATGTCCCTGCAGCGGGTGACATCAGCGAGGGTTCCAGACCATCGGTGTCCCCTGTGCCATGTCCCTTTGTCCCCACAGCCTCGAGGAACGTCCTGTGGGTGATTGAGGGGACCTCCTGCGACCTGCCCTGGCAGGCTGCCCTCTTCAAAGGCGAGAAGTTCATCTGCGGGGGGACGCTGGTGAACAAGAACTGGGTGCTGACGGCCGCCCACTGCCACGTCCCGGGGTAGGAGGCCGTGGGGGCAGCGGTGCCCGGTGGGTTTGGTGTCGATGGGCTGAGGCCAACAAGGAATTGGTCCAGGTGGCGCTGGCGGTCCTGCTTTCCAGCCAAGCAGGTTGGGAGGGTTGATGGCGTCTCAGTGGGCTTCACTCTGCCCCTTTTCTGCCCGCGTATAACCTAAACTCTGCCCTTTTTTGGGGAAGCCATAACCTTAATTCTGCCCTTTTCTGCTTTTGCTTCTTCTGCCCTTATCTCCACCTTCTGGGACCACGGCTCCGACTCTGCCCCTGCTTTGTGTGGGTCCCCGTGGCCCCCTGCGTCCAACATGGACCCCCCCACACACACACACCACCAACCCTGATGCCTTCGGCTTCATCAGCTTCATCAGCGTGCGGCTGGGGGGCCAGAGCCACAAGGACTCAGGTGGCACCGAGCAGTGGCGGCTCTCGGCCAAGGTCTTCAAGTACCCACGCTACAATGAGACCAACAAGGACGGCGACCTGATGCTCATCAAGTTCCTCCTGCCCGTCCACGTCAACAAGCAGGTGAAGCCGCTGCCACTGGCCTCCCACTGCCCCGTGCCCGGCAAGACCTGCCAGATCGCAGGCTGGGGGTCCACCACCAGCCCTGAAGGTACGAAGCCGGTCACCTGGGGACCCAGACACCTGGGGTGCACTGATAACCCCTAGATGTGTGTCCCCTCCCCAGGGACCCAGGTGTCCGGGCTCCCCCAAAGCCCCCCTCCCAGTCCCGTTGGTCCCACTCTCACCCTCAGGCACCCTTGACCCCTGAGGGAACCCAGGCGTCCGGGTGACCCGGTCAGGGCACCAGGAAGCCTTGGAGCTCCTGCTCGGTGCCAACAAGAAGAAGAGGGGAGATGAGCTCCAGGGCAAAGAGGACAAGAGGTCCAAGCTGGGTCCGGGCTGGATCACTTGGTGCGTCCCCCCCTGCGTGACCTCATGCTCTCCCTCACCCGCAGTCACCTTCCCTGAGGACCTCCACTGCGCCAAGGTCACCATCGTCTCGG